TACGCTTTGGAAGTTCCTCTTTTCTTTTTCTCCTCATGAGTCATTATAAAATAGCGTGATACTGGTCCTGAGGAGTCTTTGGAGAGCTGCTGATCATCACTCCCAGAGCTAACAGCTGTTTTTGCTGCTGGTTTTATAGAGTGACTTTAGAGAGGAGGGTATATATATATATATTCAGATTGGTTGTTTTCACATTTTTGCACCATTTGTATACGGTATTTTAAGGAGTAGCACTGTTCCCATATATTGACAACTTACAAATTGATGGTTATACCATTTAGAACAGCAGCTGCCCTGTTTGGTATTTTTGGGAGTTTTTAAATATCTAAAGGTCCTGAGCACAGTCCTATATTTTATACATTTTTTCATGATGCCAAACATACTGGAGTATAGATCTTGGGCTTACATACACTTTAAGAAAAGTGACAGTTGCATTCCAGTGATTCTCTATTGTCACATGGCCTTAAGCAATGTCTGCCCGTGTGTAGAGTGGAGTGTTGTATAGGCTCTGGGGAAAATCTAGCCGCTGACAGCTGCATTTCTCTGTAGAATCCTTTTTATTCTGTACCCTGAAAGATTAATGATCAATCTAATGTCAGGTGAAAGAGTTACAAACCTGCAAGAGGAAACTGAAACGTGGTGTCAAGTCAGCTGTGAAGGTTCTCATTTATCCAGGTCATGGTTTAGCTAGTAGTAGTTAGTCACATTCATCTGGACTTGTTCTGTAATATTGAAGATGTTCAGAAAGTGTCTCCAAGCCACGTATTTCATTCTAATGAAGAATATGGAAATACCCGATCATTTATAGCCACAAAAGTAGCATAGACACCTTAAAGGAGATCTATGGTCAAAGCATACATTTTCATTTTATTTATCATCTTTGTGTAGCACTACCCCCTTAGGGGCTGCTGCATTTGAATTGGGTCCCCCTATGCTCTGCACGCTCAGGCAACATGCATTTTCCACATTCTGCCCACTGGAGTCAGTAAACAGTCCTTGAGCTTGGTTTTGTAGTTTTTATTAAGGGGTTAAACTTGGATAGGGTCTAGGGGTATATGGGATGCCTGAAGACCTGTAGAACTTGAGGATGACTCCTTAGCAACTATGTACAAAAATGCAGATAGCAGAACAGTCTCTTCTTGAAGAGCACTAAAAGCTTTCCAGTGTACCCCTCAGACATCGGATGATTCCTCCTCCTCACCCAGCTGCCTGTGGGTATCCCTGGGCAAGGAGGCCTAAGAGCTGTCAATTTAGAACAGTCACAGATGAGAAGCTAGTGGGGTCTTGCACCTGACCACCCTCTCCCCTTATTCGGCCCAGGAGGAGTAGGAGTACTCACACTGTGCTCTCCTGTTAGCTTGGTGGGTTAGCGGCTGCCTTCAGGCCTCATGCTGCACTGGCTCTTTCCCTGCTACACAGGCTGTCTTCCCCAGGAGATGTTGAAGCAGTGGAGATCCTCTTCTCCAATGACCTGCCTGTAGGTAAGCTGGCCTCTCTGGGGCCCCCTCTCAGGCTCCACACTCCAGCCTCCCTTAATCCATCTTCCTGCACACCTCTCCCCAGGCTCTGCCAAATTGGAGGGTTGCCCTGGTCACCATGCCCAGCTTCCTGCCAGGAGATTGGCGAAGGTCCCTCAAACATTCAGATCTGAGCCTCCTCCTCTGCACTCCCCTGTTCCAGAAAGTTATCCACTATCTAGAAAGGTGGGAGGGCTCCAGAAGCCCTGACCTGTTAGAGCCTCCCAGCCTGTCCTGAGGTAACCTCACTACCTCACTCCCCAGGCTGCTACTCAGCCTCTATCAAACAAAGAACATACCTAAGTAACCTGGAGGGTGTTACATATGTAAAACTATTACAAATAATAGTTATATTTGACAATTCATTATATGATTGCTTAAAAAAACTTGCTTTTATTTTGTGAGTTCAGCCTGTCTGCTGGCTGTCTCTTCCATAATTTCCTGGATTCCCTGCATGCTTTGAAACTTCTCCTCCATTTCTAAGGACTACATATCCATGGTCCCTTGCTGACTGAAAGCAGTGATTCCTGTGCTGACTCCACCTCCTTAGACTCCTCCTCTCAGCCCCTCTGTAGTTCAGAAGGCAGGCTTTGTGAAATGTGTGATACAGCAGTGCCTATTCACACTGCATAGTGACCACATGATTGCCAGCAGATGTCACAGAATCCAAGGAAATAAATGTGTGGGATCTTCACAAAGAAATTTTACAAACGTCAAGATAACTCAAATTAAAAGGGGTAGGTTAGAAATAATTGAAATACAATGTAGAAATTAATATATGGATTTACATTTTGACTATAGATATGCTTTAATCCAGTCACCAAGTCCAGTCACCAGGTATTGAGTGTCCAAGAATAGAAAGGGAGGTGTGAAAGTTCTTCTGGATACTTAATATCATCCATTAACCAGGTGATTAGAAGGGTTAACACCTATGCAGACTTTCTGACACCAATAATTGGGGGGCCTCAACTTTTTCACCTTACATCCTGTTCTTACACTGCCTGCCTTGACACATTATATGGTGCTTGCCTTAAGTTGACCAAGTAACCCCTGTTGATATACGGTAAATGCTGGGGTATGTTCTGGACATTTAACAGACAACAACTGAAGGGGCCACTTGTATAATCTGTGATACATTGTCAAAATTACAGGAAAAAGTCCAGTTGAATGTGACTAACTGCTACTAGCTGTTGTCAGTTCACTTTCAGTAACCTCATTAGGGCACCTTTCACACAAACAATCTCGATTGGGTTCGCCTGTCTTTTTCGCAGGCGGACCTGATCGAAACGTTCATGTGACCAGGTCCATCTGTCTGTTTTTTTCAGGCAGACCCGATCGGAACCTCTATTCTCCTCTATGGAGTGCCATTTGTAAATGGACATGTATCCGTTTACGCCAGCCTACATCCAATCCACCAAAAACAGATCTGTTCCCCTTCTGTCAGTCGGATCGGATCGCAGTCAGGTGTAAATGTCCATTTACACCCGGCCGTCCAGGGAGAGCGAGCTGTGTTTGTGTCCACTCTGCATAAGGGGAGTGGAAACTGACCCATCATTTGCCTGCCTAGCAAGAATCAGCAGACTTTGCCCCTGCTGAGCAAGCGGATCGCAGGTGGATTCCATCCCGTGTAAAAGGGCCTCTACTCTACTTCTTCATTTGGTATTTCAAAAATAATGGAAACCAGGACAATTGGATATCAGCCTCCCTATCCCTTCCTCATGCTTCTAAAAATGTTTTTTGTTTTATTTTTTTGTCTCCCCATTGGAGAGATTTAGCATCACTTCCTGTCCTGACAGGAAGTCAGGATGAATCTTCCCAATAGAAACAAAACCAGAATTAAAGGTATGGCATTTTTTACATAGTTATGTTCCTCTAGCTTGGACCATATGTACTGCATATACCATACCTGTGGGGTCCCTCTAGAAGCTGAAAATCACTGGAGTAGACAACGTTACTCCAGTGATCTCCACTAGCTTCTGGGTCCCATCCCTAATGCATTGGGAACACATACTGTTGGCTGCTTGGCATGGGCGCCATTTAGAGATCGCTACTGCATTCTCTCAATGGATGCAAAGCATTCTTTGATTGGATGGTGATATCATGCTCTCTGCTTAGTCCAATCAAAAAAAGCTTTGCATTCATTGAGAAAAGGTGAACTGCTGACATCTTGTGCTTACAGTACAGCAGGGCAGCTGCTTGGCACGGGACCCGGAATCTAGTGGAGATCATTGTAGTAACGGTGTCTACTGCAGTGATTTTCAGCTTCTAGAGGGATCCCACAGGTATTGTATAGGCATAGTTACACTAGCCTGAGCTGGATCAATGTAATGATTTAAAAAAATGCCATACCTGGAATTCCTTTTTAAAAACCTGACCTGATGGGGAAATAATGGGGTAAATCAGGGGCCAAACTACTAACCACCAAGCCGCCATTCTGCTTTTCTCATTATTTGCATGTGTTGTATTGTGTCTTATGGCTTTGATCCAATCCAAAGGCTTCTTGTACATTGGATGTTTGGCCACTGTGCATGAGATCCCAACTTTTTCATGTGGGCAGAAGGTACAGACCAGGGGCGGACTGACAACTCATGGGGCCCCCGGGCCTCTGGACACAGTGGAACACCGACCGTCATTCGGGACCTCTGTGTGAGGTCCCGATCATGTGATCACTGATTGGCCAATCAGATCCCCATGACAACTCATGGGGCCCCTGTGTCCTTGCCCAAACTCAAAAAAGCTTGTGAAAAAGGTACCAGGGGCATTTCATGGGGCCCCCCTACTGACCCCGGTCCCTCGGGCAGTGCTCGAGTGCTCGAATGGTCAGTCCGCCCCTGGTAGAGACCTATCATCCAGCCCAACTGCTGGCAGCTTGTAGAACTCTGAGTGGCAGAAAGCTACTGTGGCTGGACAGTGCACAAAATTTACTAACGTTTAGAGCAATATGCATCTCCAAGCATGAATACAGTCTTCTTACGGTCATTCACCCCTGAGTGCATACTGTCCTAAAGGTTAGTAGCACATGGTGCACCATCCAGTCACAGCAGCTTTCAGCCCCTCACAGGGTTTTACAGGCTGCTAGCAGTGGGGCTGGATGCTGTGTCAATCCCTTCCACTGGGATCTCATGCACCAGGGCTAAAAACACCCAGCATACATGAGACCAAAGAGACATTTCATATATGGACACTGGTAGACTAAATTACACCATCTGCGAGATCCCCAGCAGAGTTCCTGACTTTTTCTCCCCCACTTCTGCCAACTGTGAAACCAAGCATGGATGCCTCACATCCCCTGCTGTTAAAAATGGAAAAAACAATTTCAGAAATTATACTTTGTTACAATGTCTTCCTATAGGGGGGTTCCTAATATCAGTTTAAGTTGTACTGACCCCCATGGTTACCAGTGGTTATTGTTAACGAGAATTTAATTGCATGCAATTAAAAAAAAAAAAAAAGCTCTTTTGTTGATGGTGATTTTTCTTGTAGGAGACACCCCCTGCCCCGAGAGTAACGCGTTGCAGGAGATCCGGAGCTGTAATGAACACCCTTGTACGGTATACCACTGGCAGACAGGCCCCTGGGGACAGTGTACAGAGGATGTTCCGCTTTCGGTTTTTAACACTTCAAGTTGGAATGGAGAAGCAGCTTGTGCAGTTGGAATGCAGACAAGAAAAGTCATTTGTGTTCGGGTCAACGTTGGACAAGTTGGACCTAAAAAGTAAGGAGGATTTCTACATAAACATTAACAACCATAGCTGGTGGGCTGTAGGAATGATAGGACTTCTCCTCCATCACATCCAACAACGCCACCATCAAACCCGCCCCGCAGGCCAGGTACTTGGTGTCATTCTGGACTCCAACCTATCCTTCCAGCCCCAAGTCCAATCTTTAACAAACTCGTGCAGACTCCACCTCCGCAACATCGCCAAAATCCGCACATTCCTAACCCCAGAAACCACTAAACAGCTCATCCACTCCCTCATCATATCACGACTCGACTACTGCAACTCCCTCCTCACTGGCCTGCCTCGCCGCTGGCTATCCCCGCTTCAGTTGATCCTGAATACGGCAGCCAGACTCATTCACCTTTCCAACCGCTCCATCTCCGCCACCCCCCTCTGCCAATCCCTCCACTGGCTTCCGATTGCGCAATGGATCAAATTCAAAATCCTAACACTGACATACAAAGCTGTCCACCATACTGCCCCAAACTACATCACTGACCTAATATCCAAGTACCGCCCAGCACGCACACTCCGCTCCTCACAAGACCTCCTTCTCTCTAGTTCCCTGGTCTCCTCCTCCCATGCCCGCCTCCAGGACTTCTCCAGGGTGTCACCCATCCTCTGGAACTCGCTGCCCCAACCCATCAGATTATCACCTACTCTCCTCTCCTTTAGGCGCACCCTGAAAACCCATCTCTTCAGGGAAGCCTACCCCACCCCCTGCTAACTTGCCGACCTCCTCCACTCTTCCTACCACTCCATCCCCCACAGCTATCTCCTCCTGTACCACCATCCCCTCCCTCCTAGATTGTAAGCTCGAAAGAGCAGGGCCCTCGATCCCCTCATGTTTTGCATTGTATTGGTATTGTTCTGTCACATGTTCTGTCCCCCTTTGTAATGTACAGCGCTGAGCGAACTATTGGCGCTTTATAAATACTGTATAATAATAATAATAATAAAGAGTAATAGGTTTGCCTATCGTGGGGAGAATGCTGCTCTGAATTCCCTTTAGTAATGCGCAAATAACCAAAAGCCTAAGCATTTGGTCACCTGATTTCACCACCAGTAGCTATAGTAGTAGAGAGGCTTCCACCAACCAGCTGGATAAATACATGAGCAGATCACTCTGGCAGATGACGCAGGTTCACCCGAGGTGCGGGGTCTAAGAACTAACCATTGTTCACCAGAGCTCCTGATGGTGGAGATGCAGTTCGTTGTGTGTTAATATCAGGTAACGGTCCTCAGGATCACCCCACCAGGAGGTGAGCAAGCTGGGTTCCAGTAGCAGATATAGCAGGTAGGGATCAAAAACAGAAGCATAGTCATCAAACAAGCCAAAGGTCAGTAATAAGTGGTTGCAGGTTGGGATCTAGCAAAAGCGTAGTGGAGGACCAAGCCAGAGGTCAGTAATGAGTGGTAGTGAAGGTACAGAGAGCAGGAGAGACAAGAACGAGATATTGGCTGGAGAGCACAATAATCTGGCAAAGGAAGTGCAAAGGTATGGCTAAAAGAGGAAGTTCATGGGAGAAACAAAGGGTTCAAAGTTCAAGAATTGTCCAGGGAGCTGTCCAGCATCCCAGGTATCTCAGCAAGATGGGACATTGCCAGACACCAGGTCCTGATACTATACTTCACCCTGATATAACAAAACTCTGCCAACATCCATCAATATTTTTAAACCTATTTCCATCAAGCTCCACCCCTGAGGATCAGGACTGTCCAATAAAATAGGTAAAATGCTGAGAGACAAAATGTTTATTTTTCTTTCTTACCTAGATGCCCCGAGAGCCTTCGTCCAGAGACTATGAGACCGTGTTTGCTGCCATGCAGGAAAGACTGCATTGTTACCCCTTATAGTGATTGGACACCGTGCCCCACTTCCTGCCAAGAAGAGAAAGGTCAGAAAGCTTGCCAATAACTGGTTTTTAGTGTTGCATGATACATAGTCAACAAGTAATGGTACCGGGTTATAATGCAAGAATCAAAATGACAGATAGAAAATCAAAAGTTGCAACTAAATCAAATATAATAATTCATTAGTATCAATGCAATAAGCAACAACAAAGTAAAGCTCAATTCCATTTTTTGTTTAAATCAGCTAAATACATTCCAGGCGGATCAAAGCCAACAGTGCGCAAAGTCTAACAGTTCATTTAACCCCTTCACGCCTAAAGGGTAAAACAAATCTAAATGCCTAAGCACAATTCTGCAATATAGACATGTGTTAGTAAAACCGTACATATCATCACAACTACTTTATACATCCAGGTGGATTATACCGCGTTTTTTTCATTACAAATTGGGCTTTCATTTGGTGGTAAATGGTAATGGATAGCTCCTAATTTTTTTTTATTCTCAAAGGAAAACTGGCCCAAAATAGTAAAAAAAAAATTTTTTTTATTTTGCTGTGTGTTTCTTGTTACGACCATAACCTACCACCATAGAACAACCCAAAATAAATTCTCTAGCTATTGACAATTGCAGCGATATCATATATGTGCATGTTATGTGTTGTTTGTACCCGTAGTACAGTCCAGAAACAATAGTCCGCATTTTATTTTTGTCTTTTTTTTTTTTTTACCTAAGACACACTGACACTAACTGATACCAATTTTTTTTTAATCCTGACCTTTGACCCTGACTTTTGACCTTAACCTCTGACCCTGACCTTGACCCAAACACTAACCCTGATACTGAACTACATCAAACCTTGATCTAGGTATTTTTCTTTATTTTTTATTTTATTTTTTAATATTTATTTATCTTTTTTTTTTTACAAACATTTTTTTATCTCTCTATGTCAGGAGTTAGAGAGATACAATGTATCTCTCTTCTCCATTCATAGAGAGAGAAAAAACAAGGGGGCCGGGCTGCACAGTGACTGATCACTGTGATAGCCAATCAGAGGCTATCACAGCGATCACGTGACCCGGAATCGGGAGTCTCGGGTCCCAATCGTTAGAACGGGACCCGGGGCTCTCAGTGACACCGCAGTCTTTGTGTTGGGAGCGCGCCGAGCGACGCGTTCCCAGCACAAAAACAAATACGCAAATATGCGGCTTCACGGAACTGGGCTTTTTTCCCCTGGAGAGAAAGAGGACAGGGATCACCCCTGGAGAGACAGAGGACAGGGATCACCCCTGGAGAGACAGAGGACAGGGATCACCCCTGGAGAGACAGAGGACAGGGATCACCCCTGGAGAGGAAGAGGACAGGGATCACACCTGGAGAGGAAGAGGACAGGGATCACCCCTGGAGAGGAAGAGGACAGCGATCACCCCTGGAGAGGAAGAGGACAGGGATCACCCCTGGAGAGGAAGAGGACAGGGATCACCCCTGGAGAGGGAGAAGACAGGGATCACCCCTCGAGAGACAGAGGACAGGGATCACCCCTGAAGAGGGAGAGGACAGGGATCACCCTGGAGAGGGAGAGGACAGGGATCACCCCTGGAGAGGGAGAGGACAGGGATCACCCCTGGAGAGGGAGAGGACAGGGATCACCCCTGGAGAGGGAGAGGACAGGGATCACCCCTGGAGAGGGAGAGGACAGGGATCACCCCTGGAGAGGGAGAGGACAGGGATCACCCCTGGAGAGGGAGAGGACAGGGATCACCCCTGGAGAGGAAGAGGACAGGGATCACCCCTGGAGAGAAGAGGACAGGGATCACCCCTGGAAAGACAGAGGAAAGGGATCACCCCTGGAGAGGGAGAAGACAGGGATCACCCTGGAGAGACAGAGGACAGGGATCACCCCTGGAGTTTCAGAGGACAGGAATCACCCCTGGAGAGGGGGAGGACAGGGATCACCCTTGAAGAGGGAGAGGATAGGGATCACCCCTAGAGAGTCAGAGGACAAGGATCACCGCTGGAGAGTCAGAGGACAGGGATCACCGCTGGATAGTCAGACGACAGTGAAAATTGCGGGTCAACCGCAGGATTTTACTCCCTCCCCACACACCAACTGCTAGTATGAACATGCCCTTAGGAGTCTACTTGTAAAACTTTGCATAACTGTTGTCCGGGCTCAGCATGTTCAGTCTGGAAAGAAGAATCACTGCACTCTGAGCAGCCTCAGCCTAGCTCCATCCAGGCCATGACCCACCGACGCGTTTCGCCTTACACCCAGTGATTAGTCATGGAGAAGGGGATTCATTGTGCCAGGGGAGATTTTATGCATCAACAGCCAGTGCTGCAAAAAAAGAAACAATGACCAACAGGTGTAACCTAGAAAGAGCATAAAGGATATCCTACATAAATGTCAGAAGCATTTCATACAAGCTGAGTGAAATGTCACCGTCATTTTTCTAAAAGGTTAATGCCTGCATCTTCAGCGCCACCTAGAGGCCTTAATGTGCTGTCGTTTTCTGAAATGCCCTCAATGAGAAAACAATACTGTCTTTTGGCCACTAGATGGGGCTGGATGATACAGGTATTACTCTATTAGAAAATTTGCGGTGACATTTTGTTCAGCTTGCACAAATGTTCCTGACAATCGTGCAGCAAATGTTTTATAAACAGACCCCATACACGTGGCTCATAACATGAAGAAATATATTGGATTCCGGGTCCACTTCACGTCTTCGGCAGGTTTGTTTATCTCGTAACCCTTACATACTACAATAAAGCTACGGGCGATCCTCAATGAATATGTTTTTTCCGTAGCGCGTGCGATTTGTATTTTTCTTCTCGCTTTCATCTTGAATTCGGGGGAAGAGGAATATGAGATCTCGTGTCTCTTGGCTCTGGATTTAATTAATTTCCGAACCCTCCATGCTAATTCCTTTGTGCAAACCTAATGTCATCTGTTTGTATATGGTATCAAAAACCATTAAAAATTCGGGATGAGATGATTCTGCGCAAATGGCGGCGTGCTTTGAAATGTATCACTATAGGCGGAATGAATAATTAAAGGAGCAATATTTGTATCTCTCTGGGACACGTATCTTCACCCTGCAAGAGTCCTTACATCTGACCTCCAGCCTTCCGTCTTGCACAGTTGTACCGGCTCCTCTCCTGAAATGGCTTACTCTGATTTCACTGCACACTGTGAGCTTCTCACAATGTGCATTAGAGGCTGCAGAAAGTCAGATAGAGCTCCGCCTCATTTCCTGGCTGGAGGGCATCCAGCATCATATAGCTCTTCCCTCCCCAGCCTGACTGTCCTTGGCCTGCCCCTATCATTCATTGGATTTCAGTTCTTTCAGCCGTGGAGGCTCAGTGTCACATGAGTGGTCTGCACAGGGGCGGACTGACCATTTGGAAACTCGGGCACTGCCCGAGGGACCGGGGTCAGTAGGAGGCCCCATGAGATGCCCCTGGTACCTTTTTCATAGGCTATTTTGAGTTTGGGCAAGGACACAGGGGCCCCATGATCCCCTATTGCCCGGGGGCCCCATGAGTTTTCAGTCTGCCCCTGGGTCTGCATGCAAATATAGGAACACCCACTCCTCCAGACCAGGGGAGGACTGACCATTCAAGCACTCGGGCACTGCCCGAGGGCTCGGGGTTAGTAGGGGGCCCCATGAAATGCCCCTGGTACTTTTTATAGGCTTTTTTGGGTGTCCTTTGAGTGTGGGCAAGGACACAGGGGCCCCATGATCCCCTATTGCCCGGGGGCCCCATGAGTTGTCAGTCTGCCCCTGCTCCAGACTGACCCCCACCCATTAATGTATTTTTGATATTTGCATAACTCCTCCCTAGAGCCAGCCCACTGCTTGCATCAGAGCTGGGGGCTCTTGAGAGGAGTACTGAGGCAGGGTGCTGTGATGTTTTCAGGAAGCTATGTACATCCCCTCCCATCAGCCATGTTCTGCCAGCACAGCATAGTGAAGCACAGAGTCAGCGATGACATGACTCGGTCTAAAGTAAGGTATGTATTAAAATGTTACTAAACGCACAACAATAAAATCAGTCTGTACAGTATATGCAGTAACGCATGCTTGTTATTCTCACTGTTGAACCTACATTGTCCCTAGTATGTGTATGTATGGATGTAAGTTAGGGACCTTAGATTGTACACCCCTTGAGGGTTAGGGACTGATGGGAATGTACTATATATATGTAAAGTGCTGCGTACATTGACGGCGCTATATAAGTACCGAAAAAAAATAATAATAATCCTCTGCATTGTGTAAAAAGGCTGTTTAATCCTGTCTTCTCTGATCCTGCCCTTCTTCCACTGTCCCAAGTCCATCTGCTGATAGAACAGAGCTCTATGAGACACTCTGCACATGCTCAGTTAATGTGTATGACTAGAGTTTTTTTTTTTCTTTGGGAGGGTGCAAGTGATCAGCACAGGGCCAATCAGCACTGTCCAGACAGAGGGTTAGGGGTCCTGCAGCCTCATAGGACAATCAGGGGAGAATGAAAACTCCTCCTACAAGCTTTAACCAGTGCTGGGCTGGACACTGATAGAAGAGACAAGATTGCTATATACTGCTGATGAGAAAAGGGATTTAGCAGTTTATATTTACTAAATAATTGCATGTCCATGTTGTGTGTACTGTGGGAGACTAGATATAGTGAATGCAGGGTCCGCGGAGACCAGATATAGTGAATGCAGGGTCCAGGGAGACCAGATATAGTGAATGCAGGGTCCGGGGAGACCAGATATAGTGAATGCAGGGTCTGGGGAGACCAGATATAGTGAATGCAGGGTCCGGGGAGACCAGATATAGTGAATGCAGGGTCTGGGGAGACCAGATATAGTGAATGCAGGGTCTGGGGAGACCAGATATAGTGAATGCAGGGTCCGGGGAGACCAGATATAGTGAATGCAGGGTCCGGGGAGACCAGATATAGTGAATGCAGGGTCGGGGAGACCAGATATAGTGAATGCAGGGTCCGGGGGAGACCAGATATAGTGAATGCAGGGTCCGGGGAGACCAGATATAGTGAATGCAGGGTCCGGGGAGACCAGATATAGTGAATGCAGGGTCCGGGGAGACCAGATATAGTGAATGCAGGGTCCGGGGAGACCAGATATAGTGAATGCAGGGTCCGGGGAGACCAGATATAGTGAATGCAGGGTCCGGGGAGACCAGATATAGTGAGTGCAGGGTCTGGGGAGACCGGATATAGTGAATGCAGGGTCCGGGGAGACCAGATATAGTGAATGCAGGGTCCGGGGAGACCGGATATAGTGAATGCAGGGTCCGGGGATACCAGATATAGGGAATGCAGGGTCAGGGTAGACCAGATAATGAATGCAGGGTCAGGGGAGACCAGATATAGTGAATGCAGGGTCCGGGGAGACCAGATATAGAATAGGGTAGAGACTATAGTGAATGCAGGGTCCGGGGGGGAGACCAGATATATAGTGAATGCAGGGTCCGGGGAGACCAGATATAGTGAATGCAGTGAATGCAGGGTCCGGGGATACCGGGGAATACCAGATATAGTGAATGCAGGTCCGGGGATACCAGATATAGTGAATGCAGGGTCCTGGGAGACCGGATATAGTGAATGCAGGACCCGGGGATACCAGATATAGTGAGAGAGATCAGATCTAGTGAATGCAGGGTCCGGGGAGACCAGATATAGTGAATGCAGGGTCTGGAGATTAGTAACACTTAAAAGGATCTATTAGAAAGGATCTATTTAAAAATGTCCTTAATGGGGGGAGAAGAAACCAAGAAAGAAACCAAGCTCTATGAGACACTCTGCACATGCTCAGTTTAGTGTGTATGACTAGAGTTTTTTTTTTTTCTTTGGGAGGGTGCAAGTGATCAGCACAGGGCCAATCATCACTGTACAAACAGAGGGTCAAACTGAGTCCAAAATCAGACTCCCTTCTGCATAGAAACCAATCAGCTTCTAACCTCAGCTTGTTCAATGAAGCTTTGGCAATGAAACCTGGAAGCTGATTGGTTTCTATGCAGAAGGAAGTCTGATTTTGGACTCTCCAGCTTTAGCAAATAAACCCCAATGGGTCTGGTATGCGTTTGGGGGGGGGGGGGCACATGGAATTTTTTTTGTAGAATATGCTACAGCAAAAGTAACAGCTACAAATGGCACAATATAAATTGCCGGCTTTTTTAACCCTTAGGTTAAAAAAGGTATTTTTGGGGGACCTTTTGGGATCTGTGTGCTGTTTTTTTTTTTTTTCTTAAAGAAGCCAGGAGGGAGATGTAATTTTCCCTTTGTCAGTGCTTTAATAAAATACTGGCCACATGGAATTTAAAAAAACATTTTTTTGCAGTGGTGCCTGTTCCTCAGGGCAGTGCCCACCCCAGGGGTGGACTGACAACTCATGGGGCCCCTGGGCAATAGGGGATCATGGGGCCCCTGTGTCCTTGCCCAAACTCAAAAAAGCCTATGAAAAAGGTACCAGGGACACCTCATGGGGCCCCCTACTGACCCCAGGCCCTCGGGCAGTGCCCAAATTTCCAAATGGTCAGTCCACCCCTGCACAGGAGCCAGTTAACCTACCAGAATGGCTTTGGAATGCCCTTTCCCAACCACATAACTCATTAATGCAGGCTTCCTAATCTTCCTAATGGGGACAGCAATAAAAACATGACAGGGGTTCTAATCCTCCTCTCTGTCCAATATATAAAAAAACTGCTTTTAGCTTTACTTTATTGCCTTGTCATTATCTACTGAATTCTGGTCAGAATGTGTTTATGATTTGAAATAAGCGTCCTGCATTTCTCATTTTAGGCGCTGTCATTGTCAAGAAGCAGACGCGGCACAGGGTCATTATCCAGTACCCGTCCTACGGCGGGCGAGACTGCCCTGACACTTTATATGAAGAAAATGAGTGTGAGCCCCCTGCGGCCTGTCACACATACAGGTGAGAAAAGCGCATGCCGAGATGGAACCTCTCCTGCCAAGCTGTCCCACCTCCCGATCATTAAATACGATTCTGTCACCACATGCTGCAACTTGTCACCGCTCTGTCAGCACCGCGGTGCCACGGACTGGGGGGAAGAAATTGATTTCTTTTATTAAATTCCCCTCTGCTGAGTAAATATTTTATTTGCTCTATTAAATTGATTTGAGCTCCCAGGAAGATACTAGAAATTAAAGGAACTGGAACAGCTTCTGGCATTAAAAAAAAAATATATATATATACAAAAAAGTGGGGGAAGAGATTAATTAGAGGGAATGAAAGGAAACAAAAATGTATTTGTGTTTTAAGATGTTCAAATGTTCCTGGTCTCCTGGAATGACAAAATCTCTGTTCGGTAGGTAGAGAGAAACTAGAAGGGGCTGGATGCCAAGCACTGCTTCTGTTCTATTGTGATTGGTCATTAGGAGACGCCTTTGCTCCCACCATCCACTTAAAGAAGAATTCTTATGAGCATTACAAAAATTAATACAATTCCATTCATTCATGTCTAAATACTTGTATTATCCTTTCCAATGAAGCAGTATTGAACTGTGAAAAGATTCCTTCTTTGCTCCTTGATTTTCAGTGTTTTGACTCCTCCCCAGACAGAAGCCCAATTTGTGAATGTTACAAACATGGACATTGGTTGCCACTGTCTCCTGATCAGTGAGCATAACTGGGGTTAGAGGGCTTCCATTCAATTTGCATGTTTCACCTTCTCTGTCTTTTCATTGGTCGCTAGGATGAAGCCTCCATACATTCATGTCTTAATACTTGTAATATCCTCTCCAATGGAGCAGTGTTTTGACTCCTCCCCAGACAGAAGACCAATTTTTGAATGTTACAAACATGGACCTCAGTTGCCACTGTCCCCTGTTCAATGAGCATAGCTGGGGATGGAGGTGTGTCACCTAGAGGGCTCCCATTCAATTCCCATGTTTTATTTCCTGTCTTTTCATTGGTCGCTAGGATGAAAGCTCCACACATTCATGTGTTAATACCTATAATATCCTTTTCAGTGGAGCAGTTTTGCAACGTGAAGAAAATTCCTTCTTTACTCCATTTTTAGTGTTTTGGCTCCTTCCCAGACAGAAGCCCTATTTGTGAGTGTTACAAACATAGAGATCAGTTGCCACTGTCCCCTGTTTAGTGAGCGTGCCTGGGGGAGGAGGTGTGTGTGTGTCACCTAGAGGGCTCCCATCCATTTCCCATGTTCCTCCCCCTCTGACTTTTCATTGGTCGCTAGGATGCAGCCTCCACCAAGTACCCCCCCCCCAGTAGAGATCACAGACCCCCAGTTCAGACATAACCCCTCCCCCATACAGTCCTCTGTCTTCCAAATCAATCCATCAGTACAGACATATCCCAAAACACCCCTCAGTATTGACCCCTCCCCCAAAACAACCCCTAGTACAGACCTCTCCCTCCTAATACAAACCACAGACCCCCTGTTCAGACTTCTCTCCCTCAGTACAAAACTTTCCCCTCTGTGCAAGACCCCTTACCCTAGTACAGACCACAGACCCCCCTGTTCAGACTTCTCCCCGGTACAGAAATATCCCCTCCAGGTCAGACTTCAGCCCTTATTACAGACCCCCCTCCCCTCAAGGTCAGCCTTTTCCCCCCCAGTACAAGCCACAGACCCCCTGTTCAGACTTCTACCTCCCCCAGTACAGTACTCTCCCCTCCAAGTCAGACTTCTTCCCTCGGTACAGAAATATCCCCTCCAAGTCAGACTTTTCCCCTTTTACAGACCCCCTTTCCCCTATTCAGACTCCCCCCCCGATACAGAACTCTCCCCTCCAGGTCAGGCATTTTCCCCCCAGTACAAACCACAGACCCCCCTGTTCAGACTTCTCCCCTGGTACAGAAATATCCCCTCCAGGTCAGACTTCAGCCCTTATTACAGACCCCCCCTCCCCTCAAGGTCAGCCTTTTCCCCCCCAGTACAAACCACAGACCCCCTGTTCAGACTTCTACCTCCCCCGGTACAGAACTCTCCCCTCCAAGTCAGACTTCTTCCCTCAGTACAGAAATATCCCCTCCAGGTCAGACTTCAGCCCTTATTACAGACCCCCCTCCCCTCAAGGTCAGCCTTTTCCCCCCCAGTACAAACCACAGACCCCCTGTTCAAACTTCTACCTCCCCCGGTACAGAACTCTCCCCTCCAAGTCAGACTACTTCCCTCGGTACAGAAATATCCCCTCCAAGTCAGACTTCTCCCCTTATTACAGACCCCCTTTCCCCTATTCAGACTCCCCCCCCCCCCCCCCCGATTCAGAACTCTCCCCTCCAGGTCAGACATTTTCCCCCCAGTACAAACCACAGACCCCCCTGTTTAGACTTCTCCCCCTGGTACAGAAATGCGTATACCCTCCAGGTCAGACTTCTCCCCTTATTACAGACCCCCCTTTCCCCTATTCAGACTCCACCCCCCCGATACAGAACTCGCCCCTCCAGGTCAGACTTTTCCCCCCTAGTACAAACCACAGACCATCTGTTCAGACTTCTACCTCCCCCTGGTACAGAACTCTCCCCTCCAGGTCAGACTCCTCTCCTTAGTACAGAACTCTCCCCTCCAAGTCAGACTTCTCCCCTTCGTACAGACCACAGACCCTCCTGTTGAGACCCCCCCCCCCACCTAATACAGAACTCTTTTCCCCAGTACAGACAATAGACCCACCAACCCACCGCTCCCCTGAAGTCCACATACCAGACCTCAGATAAGCAGCAAGGCACAATGAGTAGGATTTCTGTGACAGAACATCAGAGGAGCCTTTCTCAGCCACTTTGTCCGAGATCTGAACAAGCTGGCCGTTGCAGCACAGATAGCACTGCAGCATCGACATTTTTAAAAATGAAAATCCAAAGCATCAGCATGAACGGTGTACAGAATGCCACCGGGTTGTCATATTGCATTGAATTTTACATAAAATTACAGCTTGACATGGATAGGTATATTTTAAGAACATTCAATTACAATATGGCTTGTGTAGCAATTGTATTTTTTTTTTTCATTTTCTATTTTTTTTCCACAAATATGGAGTTACACTTTAAGTCAACACTTTGAACATACTGATGAATTTTCCAGTTAAAAGGTGTCAGTTCGATAACCAATAGTACATGACTCCCGAATTTTACTAAGCTTCATGGTGTCATCCGCATCCGTCACAGCTGCTGAGATCAAAAGGATCCGCCGCGAACTAAGCAGTCATTAACAGCGCTATAACGGGGAGAGGCGGCAGCTGAGAATCGTACACAATAAACGACGGCGCTGAAGGTGAGAGAGGACAAATTACATCCAGAGACGAGACGAATTTGTATTCACATAAGAGAAGGAATTCTCCAGCGCTAGCAAAGTTCATTATCACGGTGTAAACTGGAAATGCTTTTAATGTGGCACCCGCCTGAATATAAAACGCAAGGTGTCAGTCGGTGACAACGCTACAGAAAGAGCCCAGGATTAATTGGCTTGCTATTATTCCACATGGCTGCCATCTTGCCCCACATCTCAGAACAATTACCTGTGTACAACCTCTTCAAAAAAAAAAAAAAAAATGCCAAGGCTGTCTTTTAAATGTCATACAGTTTTCCTTAATATAACAGATTCCATTTTGTGCCATTTATTGTCAGATTCTTCCAAGTCTGAATAATCAGAATGCATTTAAATTTACAATTCGGGAAGTAAATCCAGGAATTTCTGCATTTTCTGGTGTGTGTGCACAAGATGGGTGGCAGATCCTAGATGGGAGCTTTTACTCTCTGCCATCACCATTTTTCAAAGGCTCGTCCCCATTACACAGAATGATGTATTATTAAATTTCATTTGTTTAAACCTTCACTGCTGGCAGCCTGTTGTTAGTGCTGTGAGCGCTTAAAAGAGACCTCCGCTCAAATCCAATATGCAGAGGTTAGCAACCGAAGAAAATGATAATAGATAATACATACGTAAGATGGCTTCTTTTACAGGATACCAGGGGTCTCCAAACCTTTGGTACTTAGGCCACATTGGCTGTTTTATAAATAAACAGGGGCTGTTAAAAAATCCCCATCGAAGTCCCTCCTTAGTTCAAAGTCGCCATCAGAGATCTCCCTTAAATCAGGGTCCCCATCAGAGCCCCCCCCCCCTTATGTCAGGTTCCCATTCAGAGACTTCCTTTACAATAGGTTCCCCATTTTGGTCCCCCCTAAATTATATTCCTTATCAAAGTTCCCCGTTAAATCAGGGTCTCCATCAGAGCCTCTGTTATGTCAGGTTCCCCATCAGAGACTCCCCTTACATTAGGTTTACATCAGGTTCCCAATCAAAGTCCCCCCTTGCATCAGGTTCCCTTATCCGAATCCCCCCTTGCATCAGGTTCACCATCAGAGTCCCCCCTTTCATCTCGTTCCCCATCAGAGCCCCTCCTTGCATCAGGTTCCCAATCAAAGTCCCCCCTTGCATCAAGTTCCCCATTGGAATCCCCCCTTGCATCAGGTTCCCCATCATAGTCCTCCCTTACATCAGGTTCCCCATCAGAGTTCTCCCTTATATTAGGTTCCTCATCAGAGTCCCCCCTCAGATCAGGTTCCCCATTAGAGCCCTCCCTTGCACCAGGTTCCCCATCAGTCCCCACTTACATTAGGTTCCCCATTAAAGCCTCCCCCCCCGTACATTATAAAGAGACACCATAGGTAGCCCCTGAATACCTTAATCCTCGATCAGTGCACACTAAGGAGGATATGCCACTGACCCTAGCTGGGGGCCAGACAAAAACTTTTAGCAGGCTGGATGTGGCCTGTTAGGAGATCCCTTCTAATGTTCCAAAATACAATCTCAGGACTCCTCTAATATCACACCCTATTTATATCCTATGAAACTACATGAACATTCATTACTGTGCAAATGGGGGCAAAATCAAAGGTTGCTAGGCTAGTTTCCCTGCAGGGTCGAATTATTTTCATTCATACGGACTAGAGTGGTTCGGGAAAATACAGCATTATGGCCACTAGATGGAACTGAATAAAGAAATATGTATTTTCTATAATCATCAGCTCCATCTAGTGGCCATATTGCTGTATGTTACTGAATCATTCTGTTCTCAGTGAATGAATATCAGTTGACCTGGTTAGAAAGTAGACTGGTAAAATTCGATTTTGCCCAGTACATGCAGTTTCCCAGGACGAATCGCTCTGCAATTTAATTTTTTAAAATAAATACTCCCCATTGTGTATGACAAGCCAAAAACTTTTTTTCTAGCTCTGGTTATAGTGGAGACTGGTGAGGACTCATGATGGGCTTTTACTACTATCTGGATCTTCATTAAAAATTACATTCATTTTGTAAACAAATTGTTCATCCTCCCCCCCCTCCCCACACACACCAAAAAATAAATACCTTGCCCCAGCCTCTGGTACTTATGGGAAGCACAGGTGACACCAATGAGCCTTCCAGCATAGCTTGAAATCTGACTAGAGGACTTCCTTGCAGTATTTTAAGCTACCAGCTCTGCCAGGAGGCATTGGGAATGAGGCAACAGAGACCAGGACTGAGGTAAGTATTTTTGTTCAATCCATGGTGGTGTATGGTGTTACCAATGGTTTGGTGGCTGTGGTCCCAACTGCCTTGAGATCATTCACAGGCTCCTCCGGTGTAGTTCTGGGCTGATCTCTCACTTTTCTCATGATCATCCTTACCCCATGAGGTGAAATCTTGCATGGAGCTCCAGATCGAGGGCGATTTGATGGTTATTTTGTAATTCTTCCTTTTGCAAATAATCACTCCAACAGTTGTCTCCTTCTCACCAAGCTTCTTGCTGATGGTTTTGTAGCCCATTCCAGCCGTGTGCAGGTCTACAATCTTGTCCCTGACGTCCTTTGACAGCTCTTTGGTCTTGCCCATGGTGGTGCTCAAGAAAGAGATTCTGTGGATAGGTGTCTTTTATACACATAACGAGTTGTCGTTAGGAGCACCTTCCTAAATTGACAGGACTAATCTGTGTACCACATGAGCACATAGCCAGTCTGTGGGAGCCAGAATTATTGTTGGATGGTAGGGGATCAAATACTTATTTTACTCACTGAATTGCAACTCAATTTATAACATTTGTATCGTGTTTTTTTCTGGATTTTTGGTTGATATTCTTTCTCTATCATTTAAATTACACCTATGATAAAAATTATGGACCCTTCATTTCTTTGTAAGTGTGCAAACGTACAAAATCTGCAGGAGATCAAATAATTATTTTCCCTATTGTATAGTACTGTTTCTAGTAACACTTTACAATCACCATTAAAACATCTTTCCATCTGACGTCCCCAGTGGCCCCATCGGGTGGCGCAATGCCGTCCAAATTTACTCCTCCCTATGGGAAATCAAAATATCTGATCTAAGAACGATGCCAATAGCTAGGCAGCCATCGGTGCCATCATCAAACCTCTTCCTCCCCTTCCTTGACGGCTGCAGCGGCAAAAAAAAAAACGAATTTTCTACGCCTGGATGACAAGGGTCCATGTGTGTTCACCAGATGGCCTGTTGTGGTGGCAGAGCGCTGGTATTTCATTAGGAGACCCCCTACTGGCTCTGCCAACAAAATGAAAAAGTGCCGTGTAATTGTACCGAGTAGATGATCATTTGCTTTAAATATTGAAGGCATCGGGGCGTTCATGATTTACTGACTGAGCTGTCTACGACTTGTCTTGCCATAGGTGGAAGACACATAAGTGGCGGAGATGCCATCTGGTGCCCTGGTATGTCAGACAAGACAGCCCTGGAGCGTACGAAACCTGCGGACCGGGACTACAGGCGAGAGGTGAATTCATTTCAATGACTGATCTTTTTTCTCTGCCATCCTGGAAATAAATCTGGAAACATTTCTGGAAGCAACTTACATTATTGATATGTATGTATATATATATATATATATATATATATATATATATATATATATATATATATATATATATATATATGGCTTTTTTCTCAGAGAATAGCTGCGGGTACTCCCCCCTTCTGAGTCACCCTGTGTCTCTGTCCTTTACCCACCTTCGAGCATAATAGATCCCCCTCAGTAAACAATAAATGCCTACCAGCAACAATAGGTCCCCCGCAGGGGCGGACTGACAACTCATGGGGCCCCTGGGCAATAGGGGATCATGGGGCCCCTGTGTCCTTGCCCAAAGTCAAAAAGCCTATGAAAAAGGTACCAGGGACATCTCATGGGGCCCCCTACTGACCCCAGGCCCTCGGGCAGTGCCCGAGTTTCCAAATAGTCAGTCCGCCCCTGGTCCCCCGTCAGCAAAAGAAGACCCAGCAACAATAGATCCCCCCCAGCAACAATAGATTCCCCCAGCAACAATAGATCCCCACATCAACAATTGCCCCCCCCCCTCAACAAAATAACCCTCAGCAACAATAGACTCACAATATAACAATACAGAAGATCTCCCACCAGCCAGCATCAATAGGCCCTCCAGCAGCCAGCAACAATAGACCAGTCCCTCAACAGTAGATCCCACTCAGTTTCTATTGACTCCCTAGCAACATAAGATCCCCAACAGAAACAATAGATCCCCCACTAGCAAAATTAGATCCCCCAACAACAATAAACCCCCACTAGTAAAAATACAGTAGATCTTCCAGCAGCCAGCATTAATAGAGCCTCCAGCAGCTAGCAACAATAGACTGATTCCTCAACAGTAGATCCTTCCCAGCTACTATAGACCCCCTAGCAACATACGACTACACCAGTAACAATAGATCCCCCACCAGCAAGAATAGATCCCCCCAACAACAAAAAAAACCCACTAGTAACAATACAGTAGATCTTCCAGCAGCCAGCATCAATAGACCCTCCAGCAGCCCTCACTCAATAATAGATCCCTCCCTGCAACAGTTGACCCCCAGCAACATAAGATTCCTACAGCAAAAATATAACCTCCTCCCCAGCAACAAATGATCCCCCAGTTATAATAGATCCCCCAGTAGCCAGCATCAATAGACCCTTCAGAACCCCATTTAGTGCTGGAGATGGCAGAACTGTGTTCCTCCACATTCCCGTAGAAAAAAGCCATATATATATATATATGAGAGATCAGCTTGATGTAGACAATTTATCAATGTTTGTTCATCTTTCTAGATATCTTGTTCCTATGTATAGTTTATAATTATATATAAACATGGGGGAATCATTATTTAGGAAAACCCAACTCCAGAAAAATAATAACAAACTACACTATACCTGTCCACTATTATGCACATATTATAACTGAGTGTTTAAACTGATGTTTTAATTCTATTTCTGTATGATATATACAGTGTGTGTGTATGTGTGTGCGTGTGTACACACTATATTGCCAAAAGTATTGGGCCAGCCCTCCAAATCATTGGATTCAGAGATGTTCCAACCACCTCCATGGCCACAGGTTTTTAAAATCAAGCCCCTAGGCATGCAGACTGCTTCTACAAACATTGGTGAAAGAATGGGTCACTCTCAGGAGCTCAGTGAATTCAAGCGTGGTCCTGTGATAGGTTGCCACCTGTGCAATAAGTCCATCCATGAAATTTCCTGGCTACTAAATATTCCACAGTTAACAGCAACTCAGCCACCAAGTGGTCGGCCACATAAAATGACAGAGTGGGGTCAGCGCATGCTGAAGCGCACAGTGTGCAGAAGTCACCAACTGTCTGCAGAGTCAATAGCTAACGATCTTCATGTGGCCTTCAGATTAGCACAATAACAATGCGTAGAGAGCTTCATGGAATGGGTTTCCATGGCCGAGCAGCTGCATCCAAGCCTTACATCACCAAGTGCAATGCAAAGCGGCGGATGCCGTGGTATAAAGCACGCCGCCACTGAACTCTAGAGCAGTGGAGATGTGTTCTCTGGGGTGATCAATCATGCTTCTCTGTCTGGCAATCCAATGGATGTGTCTGGGTTTGGAAGTTGCCAAGAGAACAGTACTTGCCTGACTGCATTGTGCCAAGTATAAAGTTTGGTGGAGGGGGGATTATGGTGTGGGGTTGTTTTTCAGGGGTTGGGCTTGGGCCCCTAGTTCCAGTGAAGGGAACTTTTAAGGTGTTAGCATACCAAGATGTTTTGGACAATTTCATGCTCCCAACTTTGTGGAAACAGTTTGGGGATGGCCCCTTCCTGTTCCTACATGACCGCGCACCAGAGCACAAAGCAAGGTCCCCCACATGAAAGAAGAATATATTTGAAATACATTTAAAAATATTCTTCCCAAATATATTGATATATATTTGAAATACTACAATTTTGGCCATATTCAATATATTTCAATAAATCTATCTATCTATCTATCTATCTATCTATCTATCTATCTATCTATCTATCTATCTATCTATATCTGTATCTATCTATCTATCTATCTATCTATCTATCTATCTATCTATCTATCTATCTATCTATATATCTAGAGCAGTGGTTCTCAACCTGTGAGTTGCGACCCCTTTGGGGGTCGAAAGACCCTTTCACAGGGGTCGCCTAAGACCATCAGAAAACACATATTTCCGATGTGTAGAGAGCAGCTACTGTGTAGAAAGCAGCTGCTGTGTTGAAAGAAGCTACTCTGTTAAAGCAGCTACTGTGTTGAAAGCAGCAGTATTGGAGGTAAAACGACATTCATGAATTATAATTGCTGGGTAAATAATTTTATGGTTGGGGGTCACCACAACATGAGGAACTGTATTAAAGGGTCACGGCATTAGGAAGGTTGAGAACCACTGATCTAAAGTATCTATCTATCTATATCTATCTATCTATCTATCTATCTTATCTATCTATCTATCTATCTATCTTATCTATCTTATCTATCTATCTATCGTATCTATCTATCCTGTATGTTGAAATGCATTTTTCTTACAAAATATATGAAAAATATTTTTTAAAATACATTTTCAAATATACTGTATGTCTTTAAAAATACAAGTCTACATTTTTGGAATACACTTACAAATATATGTAAAATATATGTTAAAATGGCTTTTTTTAAATGTTACAAAAAAGCATGTTGGTTGGTTGTGCTTTATTGCTCATTCTAACAATACAAGTCTACAGGATGGATTTATTAAAGCAGCAGCTATACAGGGACACATAACACTTTATTTTATAATAACTTACAGGATGTGATTAAGTCTGAAAAACAAAAAGCATACCGCTAATAAATGTTTAATAAAATGTCAGCAAACACAATGATATTAATTAGAAATTGTATCATCTGCCAATTCAGCGTAATCTGTTTTGACGGAACTGGTTATGTGTTAAGAGTGTTGTCGTGAAGCGTGTTTGTGTTTTTTATTTGGCAGTGTGAATATCCATTACAGGATTAATTGGCGAGCATTGATGACTGCCAAGTGTCTATATCTTCTATTTAGCGCCAGGAAATGGAAAAATAAAAAAAATGGAACGCGGGAATTGTTCTTTTTTATTTTCACTGTAGCTATTCCAAGTGTTACTGATTCCAAAAACTAAAGTCTCAGAGTGCAGAAATGAAGTTTTTGCAACCAAACAGAAATCCTCTTGAATTTTGCCAAAAACTTAAAGGTGAAACCTGATTCATTTTTCTGATTGGTCAAGAGGAGTCCTGCCGCTCTGATAGATTTGGTTGATTGACAAAGAAAGCAGAACTTCAGAATTGTAAAAGACATTTACCAACATGTTTGTCCCAGTCCCCGCCCGCCCTCACTTAATATGGCAACCTTCTAGACAGCCTCACCCACACTTAATGCCTACCTTCTAGAAAGCCCCACCCAAATCACACTCACTTTCAAGGCATCCTGCACAGATCACCACTACTTTCTGACATATTTGTCCCTGCCCCACACTTAACATGTCTACCTTCTAGACGGCCCCACCCAAATCACACCCACTTTAAGGCTTCTGCCCAAATCACACCAACTTTAAAGATGTCCAACACAGAACACCTCTACTATCCAGGCAGTCCCATCCAGATCATGCCCACTTTTCAGGCATCCTGCCCAGATCATTGCTACTTTCTGACATATTTGTCCCAGGTCCCAAACCTAACACGCCTGCCTTCTAGACAGCCTAACCCAAATCACACCCACTTTAAGGCTTCTACCCAGATCACACCTACTTTAAAGATGTCCGGTACAGAACACCTCTACTTTCCAAGCGGTCCCATCCACATCATGCCCACTTTTCAGGCATCCCACCCAGATCATGGCTACTTTCCAACATATTTGTCCCAGGTCCCAAACCTAACACACCTGCCTTCTAGACAGCCTAACCCATATCACACCCACTTTCTAGGCTTCCTGCCCAGATCACACCTACTTTAAAGATGTCTGGAACAGAACACCTCTACTTTCCAGGCGGTCCCATCCAGATCATGCCCACTTTTCAGGCATCCTGCCCAGATCATGGCTACTTTCCGACATATTTGTCCCCATCTGTCAGGGATCCAGGTATGACCAGAGATGTGTGGACTGACACAGGGAAATAGCAGGCTTCAAGAACAGAAGCGTAGTCAGGGCTGGAGAGGTGGAATGGTGAGGCGGGCCGTAAGGTACCGTCAGGCACCGCCCGGCGGGATCTCTAGTGACCCACAAAACAGGATTCCCCAGGGCGCGGAGTCTAAGCCCCAGTCTGCCTTTTCACCAGAGCCCCTGATGGTGGGGATGGACTTGGTGCAGGACTGAGACCAGGTCGCGGCCCCTTAGTGCACCCAACTGTGGTAGAGGGGTCCGCCGAGGGTATGTACCGGGGGGAAAGCCTGATGTGAAGGGGCTGGCAGGTTTGGACAGTAGTGACTGGATCCGTGCGGGATGGATGGATCGTCTGGGTAGTGTCGGGCGTAATCAGGCAGGCCAGGTCAGCAACGTGCAGGCAGTAAGGTACCGGAGGAGCAGGCAGAGAATAGTCAGGGTCAGAAGCTGGGTTCAGTAACTCACGGGCAGCACGGTACAGTGGATCAGGCAGAGAATCGTCAGGGTCACAAGCCAGGTTCAGTAACTCACGGGCAGCACGGTACAGAGGATCAGGCAGAAGGATGGTCAGGCAAGCCAGGGGTTAAACAGGAGACGGTCAGCAGGGTCAGGAACAATGCAGAGTCGACAACAAATCAGATAGGCAGAGGAACAGGAACACAGGATACAAGGTACAGGGGCTCATGGGAAACAACACCAAGGCACTGACTGCAGGTCTGGCCATTCCTTAAATACACCTCCTGCAATCAGCCTCAGGTGATGGCTGCCTGCAGGAGTGAGCTTCTGATTGCTGAGAGCACCCGCTGGCTAGCCCTGGTACTGCAGCCCACATGGCAGGTGAGTCCCACCACCAGTGCTGAGTCCATTCCTGACACCATCCCAAACCTAACATGCCTGCCTTCTAAACAGCCTAATCCAAATCACACTCACTTTAAAGGCATCCTGCCCAGATCACACCTACTTTAAAAATGTTTGGCACAGAATACCTCTACTTTCCAGACAGTCCCGTCCATATCAGGCCCACTTTTCAGGCATCCCACCCAAATCATAACTACTGTCCAACACATTTGTCCCCGTCTCACACTTAACTCATCTGCTTTCTAGATGGCCCCAGTCAAATCACACCAACTTTTAAGGAATCCCACCCAGATCATGACTTTCCAGGCAGTCAATCCCAGATCACTCCTACTTTCCAGGCAGTCCCATGCAGATCACATCCACTTTCCAGGTAGTCCCTTCCCCTAATTATGGGAAGACTGCCCATTTGTGGTCACAGTCCCCTCCATTAATACCCTTTTGCATGCTCAGTAACTCAAAAGGATGAAGCTGTGGTCTTGACATGCTCCCTGGGACAGCACATCTACATGCAGGAATGTCCCAGCAAATCCAGGACATTTGGCATCTAAATAGTTGTACAACCATTCCATACAACAGACAATACAGCATAGAATTGGACCTCCCATTCCACTTCTTCAATATCCGTGTAGATTATGATTTAGTGGGAGATGTAAGATGTATCCCCATACATATGGCTGATGGGCACTTCTTTACAAATCCATTTTACAATTAGCATCTGGACTACTTTAACATTTTTACGCAGTCCTATAATGCTTATATATATAATCAGTGCAGGGCAAAACGTAGCGGTCTGGCTCTCCATCGATCTGACTAACTTCTTCCCCCAGCCTAGTGCTCCAATCAATGGCACTGCTCTGGGGGTGTGAGCAGTTTTACAGCACTAGACAAAGGTGGTTCAACCACTAAAAACCAAGACCGTTGAGCTCCATATTGAACAGAGGTCTGGCTCTCTAAGGTACTCCTAGAACAGGGCAGTAACCTGAGTTGCAACAAACCATTGAAAAATAAGCCTACAGTTATTACTGTGTATGCAGCCTGATTGCATTACATGTGTGTGAGAGATTGCGTTGGACTGATAGAAGTGACAGTTGGCTCCAAATGAATCTACGGTAAAGTGATTTTTTTCCTTCAAAGAAGCAGATCCATGGTTGAAATATGAGGCTGGGACTTTAATCTTAAAAAATGGGGCCCATGGGCAGAAAGGGGATGTTTTAATGGCTTTCTGGTGCAGGTGGAGTAATCTCTCAGACTATGGTTCCAATTAAATGAAAGTCCCAGCCTCTTCTACAGTATATCAGTCTGGTGGGGCAGGTCAAGACTATATTTATTTGTCAGAAAATGTGGCGCTGCAGAGTACTACACCACACCCAAAAGTCATTAAATAGTCCACTTTCTGCCCCCAGCCCGTTGCTGAACAAATGGGGCCCTGGGAATTTTTTTTAATACTGCTGAGTGGGGATTACTACAGGGTTGTCCAGACGTTGGGAGCCCCCTCTCTGTCTTTTGACCCCCATGCTAAATTGGCATGGCCGAGCCCTATACTGGAGGGCCGACGCTACCCCCTTGTCAGGGGCCCTGTAGGTGGACCCTGTCCACCTACTTAGGCTGCTAAATCTCTGATAATGACAAAAGAAGTGCTTGCCACATAGTAAATTCTTATCATCCGAGGAGCTTCTGGTACAAAAGTTCATTTCATTTGAAGGATGTTTTGGAACATTTAATGGGTAAAAGAATTAAATACAGCCAACTGCCTGTAATGCAACGTTAGTCTTCATCAAGCCTTAGCAGAGTTCCCTTGTGATTCTTTTAACATTGGCAGCTCAAGCCCTGAAGAAGGGAGCAGCTTTTCACCTGAAATGCATTGGAGATATTTGATTGAGTGCATGAAATCCAAGTCAAGCTACCATAAATTGTTACTTCTTTGGTGTCAAAGGAGGAGCGCCTAGTACAAAAAATCATGTGACTTGAAGGACTTTTGGAACATTTAAAAACATCAAATTCAACCAACGTGTTTCGGGCGAAACTCTTCCTCCTTCTTCAGGGCTTGAGCATTCAATGTTAATAGAATCATGACAAAATTCACTAAGAGACCTATATTAGGGCTTGATGAAGTCTAACATCTCTTGTTGCACTAAAGCCAGCAGAATGCATACATTTCATGCAGGTCCATAGGCACTAAACCGCATGAAAAACATACATGCATGAACAGGGCTGTGGAGTGATCAAAGTTGGCCAAAATGAGAAAACATCGCTTTTATCTCTTGTCCTAATGCCTGAAGCAATGCTTGGTTTACCTGGTTGATATTTATTATAACTGACAGCCTGTTATTGCATCTCCAATACAAATTCATTCAGTTCATTTCTTTGTGAAATTTCTTGCTTGCAGCTATAACCTGCCGCCGACAAGATGGTGCACAGACAGAAATCACGGAGTGCCTCAAGCATGCTGGTCCTCTCCCGGCCTTAACTCAGCCTTGCCAGATACCGTGCCAGGATGACTGCCAATTTACCAGCTGGTCCAAGTTCTCACCGTGTAATGGAGATTGTGGCGCGGTTAGGACTAGGAAACGAGCTCTTCTCGGTATGCTGATAATCGTGTAAATGTCTTTTATTGACAAATTTTGCAAGGAGTGATGTTTCCCCTTAAAGTAGAACTCCAGGCAACCAATGGTTAGACTCTTTTTTTGGAGCTTGTTGTTGCGGTCTGTGTCCTTCATGGACATTTGGCCTCAGGGGCATAAATGAATTACTTACATGGTTCTGCCTATTATCCCAAAATGAATAAGAAATCCAGTATTTTTTGGGATCCATGATGGAAGCGAGACAAGAACCACTTTATGTTTTAAGAAGGCTCAACTGTGTCTTTGGGGGATTTAAAAATACCAAGAAATTACCTGATATGCCGCTGAGTTTCTGGGATGTTTGGAAAAGGATGCCATATATTTGTGCCTCCTAAAACACGTAAGATACCTGGTCTCCTACGTGCCATTGTGACCCCATAGCTCTTCACACAATATGTTCCCTCACTTGTGGTGGCAGATTAAATTAAAGTGTAAAAATGTTCTTGAGTGCAATCCTAAATCTTCAATTGCTAAGATGGTCAAACGTATTCAAGTGAAACGCGTGTCACCCCACTCAGTGCTCAAGGAAGGCTTACCAGATACATTTGAGCATCATGTTATAGAATTGTCAAATTGGGCACAGATATAATCCTGTGGCAACCGCTCCAACCTCCTCCACAGCCTCCAACCATAGGTCAAATGACGTTCAACCAACACAACATGGGCAGCGATCAGAATCCGGTCTGTCTTTGCAGCGCTGGATGAAGAGGAGAGAAGGCAGCGGGGAATTCAAATCCGTGGAATGAAGGAGCAGCATACAGGAGCCCATGTATGTGTCAACGGACTCCGGAGGAGGCTGGAGCGGTTGCCATAGGATTATATCTGTGCCCAATTTGACCATTCTATAACATGATGGTCAAATTTATCTGGTAAGCCTTCCTTGAGCACTTAGATTAAATAAAATTGCTTAACTTCCATTCCTCACCAAGGGAAAAAGGGTCACTTACCCACCAACCCGCAACAGTATGTACCCACCTTTTTCATTACCATATCACTTTGCTTGGCCAGATATGGATGAAATTATGACAGCACTGGTGTCTCGGTACTAGCCAAGCATTGTTTTTCGGGGGTGTGGAAGGGGTCCATAGCCCTGTGTAAGCTTCCAAAAGTTAGTCTGGAGTTTACTGGGGCATTCTATATCCAGTCCGAAGGAATATATGGAGTTGCATTAGAATGGGGAAAAGTGTGCAGGGCTTTTTTCTCAAAGAATAGGTGCAGGTACTCACCCCTTCTGACTCGCCCCTTGTCTCCACCCCTTACCCACCTCTGAGCGCCATGCCTTGGTCCCACCCCCTACACACCTCCTAATACTGCCCCTTTTAGAGGATACAGAACCAAATATCCCTTTGTGGTGCTAAGAAATTGGTAAGAAATTGGTTATTGATAACAAGAAAAACAGTAAAATAGATACCCTGCAGCCAGCAACAATAGATTCCCCAGCAACAATAGATTCCCTGGCAACATTAGATTTCCCCAACAGCAATGGATTCCCTTCAACAAAGCCAGCTGCAATAGACCCCTGCCACCAACAATAGATCTCCCAGCAGTATTAACAGACCCTCAAGCAGCAAGCCACAATAGACCCTCCCAGCAACAACTGACCCCAAGTAACAAGGTGCCAGAACTATGTTTCCCCATGTTCCCACTAAAAAAAAGCCCCAAAAGTATGTATACACTGCTGAAGGTGTGTGTGTGTGGGGGGGGGGGGGGGGGGAGTTGAGTGTCCTTATTATTTTGCCTTGCAGGGTTAAAAGAAAGGTAAATGTATGTTGTCCATTTAAAAAAAATATCTATCCAAAAGTCAGAAAACGTTTCAGATTTGAGTGGATGGACCTTTTATTATTGTTATTTTCCTATACAGGAAAGAGTAAGAAAAAGGACAAGTGTAAGAACCCCCAGCTGTATCCACTGATGGAGACCCAGTTCTGCCCCTGTGATAAGTACAATGCTCAGCCGGTGGGAAATTGGTCGGATTGTATTCTACCAGAAGGAAAAGTGGAGGTTCTTCTGGGAATGAAAGTACAAGGAGACATCAAGGAGTGTGGACAAGGGTACCGCTACCAGGCCATGGCGTGCTACGATCAGAACAACAGACTGGTGGAGACCTCCCGGTGTAACAGTCACGGTGGGTGCACTTGTATGAGTTTGCATTGCATTAGAAGGATCTTTCACTAAAGCCCAGCAGAACTTTCAGTTTAAAACAGCTAAATACATTCAAGGTGCAGCAAACAAAAGGCTTGCAAAGTTCATTTTCTTTAGAAGCATCTACAGTCCATAGTGGTAGTAGTAGAAAACCCTATAAATAAAGAAAAAATCCTCTTGCGCTGCTAAACCTAATACGATAAACTAAGAGTGGCTGCAAACACCAAATTGTGTTCCCACAACACTAAAAAAATAAATGAATAAATAAATAGTGCTGCGCTACTCACTAAACCTAACCGTAAAGCAAAAAGTAAATGCCTGACAGAGCCCCTAGGTGATATAAGTGCATACCTAGAGAATAACCAAACACAAGGGAATGAAAATATCCAAAAAGACTAGATGGCCTGCTGGGCAATACCAAACATAAACAAATCAATAAGTGAAACTTTTACATATGTGCAAATAGACAATCTGAGTAATATATATCAAGCCATAAATAAAAATAATAATAAAGATAATAATAATAAATAATATATAGTGTGTGTATGTGTGTGTATGTGTGTGTGTATATATATATATATATATATATATACAGTAATACCTCGCTTTATGAATTCGTTTTGCAGGACTTTTCATATAGCGAAAAATTCATAAACCATAAACCGAAACGCCGTTTCCCATTGGAATGCATTGAAAACCAATGAATCTGTTCCGGAGGTCAGAAATTGAGTTCTTTTATCAAGGCATGCAGTATTTTAGTAGTGACAACCATGTGTAAATGTTATAGCTGTCAGCGGGATTCCCCACTGACAGCTTCTGTAAAAGAATTATAAAAATTATTTAAAAAAAACGGTGTGGGGTCCCCCCCTCTCATCCATACCAAGCCCTTCGGGTCTGGTATGGATTTTGAGGGGAACTCCCATGCCAAAATGGTATGGGGGTCCCCCCAAAATCCATACCAGACACTTTTCCGAGCATGCAGCCTGGCAGGTCAGGAAAGGGGGGGGGGGGGACGAGCGAGCGCCCTCCCCTCTCCTGAACCATACCAGGCCACATGACCTTAGCATGGCTCCCCCGCCAAAGCACCTTGTCCCTATGTTGATTGGGACAAGGGCCTCTTCCCCACAACCCTGGCCGATGGTTATGGGGGTCTGCAGGCAGGGGCTTATAGGAATCTGGATGCCCCCTTTAACAAGGGGCCCCCAGATCCCCCGCCCCCCCCATGTGAATGAGTATGGGGTACATGGTACCCCTACACATTCACAAAAAACAAAAAGTGTAGTGTGAAAAAAGACATTACACGGTCTTTGACCAGACCTTTGTTAAAAGAAAAAACTAAAAGAATGTCCCCTGCAGCAGATCCAACGTCAATCACGATGCCCACCGCCAACCTGAAAAAAGAATTAAAAAAAAAAAAGGCTCTGCTTCCAGCAACCTGCCTGCTCCAGTGGTTTGATAGTTCTTAAATATGTAAGGAGCGGGGCCAGCCAGGGACATCACCCGCCCCATGTGACATCATTGACATCTCCAACATCAGTGCCTGACCTCACAAATGTGCTTCTGGAAGAATGGTCCAACCTTCCCATAGACACCCTCCTAAACCTTGTGGACAGCCTTCCCAGAAGAGTTGAAGCTGTTATAGCTGCAAAGGGCGGGGCCAACTCAATATTGAACCCTACGAACTAAGACTGGGATGCCATTAAAGTCCATGTGTGTGTAAAGGCCGGCCGACCAATACTTTTGGCAATATAGTGAGTGTATATGTGTATATATATATATATATATATATTATATATATATATAGTGATTTATTTATATATATATATATATATATATATATATATAAAATCATTATTATTATTTTTTATTTATGGCTTGATATATATTACTCAGATTATCTGTTTGCACATATGGTAAAGTTTCACTTATTGATTTGTTCATGTTTGGTGTTGCCTAGCAGGGCATCTAGTCTTTTTGGATATTTTCATTCACTTGTGTTTGGTTATTTTCAAGGTATGCACATATATCACCATAAGTAGGGGCTCTATCAGGCATTTACTTTTTGCTTTATGGTTAGGTTTAGTGAGTAGCGCATCACTATTTATTTATTTATTCATTCAGTAGCAAACCCTGCCCTCCATGCTGCAGAGAAGGATCTTTGCTCTCTGTGGAAGCAGTGGTCTCTCTTTAGAGGTCCAGCTCTTACACCCCCTGTAAGTTAAGTTTGGCTATAATATCTACTTAAACCTAACAAAATCAATTAAATATGTGGTTGCATATGTTCATGTATTTTTTTTTTTTTATTTGTGCGGTTTTCAATGAACTCATACTAGCATGGTGTATCCACATGCAGTGGTGGCAGGCAGGGTGACAACACTTACTTGGTTCAGCCACAACCCCATGCATTGCATATGGTTTATGGGCACTTTCCCATTCAGTTAAATGGGTTGCATTCAATGTATAGGTAGAGATTTTTTTTTTTTTTTGGGGGGGGGGGGAGCGCATGTGATCAGCACAGGGCCAATCAGCACTGTCCAGACAGAGGGTCAGGGGTCATGCAGCCTCGTAGGACAGTAAGAGGAGAATGAAAAACTCCTTCTACAAGCTTTAACCAGTGCTCAGCTGGATGTTGATAGAAGTCACAAGACTGCTATATCCTGCTGATGAAAAAAAGTATTTAGCAGTTTATATTTACTAAAATAATTGCATTTCCATATTGTGTGTACTGTGGGAGACCAAATATAGTGAATGCAGGGTCAGGGGAGACCAGATATAGTGAATGCGGGGTCCAGGGAGACCAGATATAGTGGATGCAGGGTCCGGGGAGACCGGATATAGTGAATGCAGGGTCCTGGGAGACCAGATATAGTGAATGCAGGGTCCGGGGAGAGCGGATATAGTGAATGCAGGGTCCAGGGAAACTGGATATAGTGGATGCAGGGTCCGGGGAGACCAGATATAGTGGATGCAGGGTCTGGGGAGACCAGATATAGTGAATGCAGTGTCCGGGGAGACCAGATATAGTGGATGCAGGGTCTGGGGAGACCAGATATAGTGAATGCAGGGTCCTGGGAGACCAGATATAGTGAATGCAGGGTCAGGGGAGAGCGGATATAGTGAATGCAGGGTCTGGGGAGACCAGATATAGTGAATGCAGGGTCCGGGGAGACCAGATATAGTGGATGCAGGGTCCTGGGAGACCAGATATAGTGAATGCAGGGTCCGGGGAGAGCGGATATAGTGAATGCAGGGTCCAGGGAAACTGGATATAGTGGATGCTGGGTCCGGGGAGACCAGATATAGTGAATGCAGGGTCCGGGGAGAGCGGATATAGTGAATGCAGGGTCCAGGCAAACTGGATATAGTGAATGCAGGGTCCGGGGAGACCAGATATAGTGGATGCAGGGTCCTGGGTTTAGTAATACTTTGCGGCTAGGTTCACATCTGTGCGGGTGGTGCCGCTGCAGAACCGCATGAAATTCCATGCAGCCGCACCACCTGCACAGAGGAATGCGGACCCACGGGCTGGTGCCATTAGTTCTAATGGCACGCCGCCCGCACTGGAAAACGCAACCATTCTGGGAACCGAGGTTCCTGTGCGGGCTGCGTTTTCAGAAGAAGTGCAGAGACTTCTTCCCTGCATGTCACGGGGCACGAGAGTCCATTCAAATGAATGGGCTCTTATGCCCGCGCAAAACGCAGCCCGCACGGCCACATATATATGAACCAGGGGTAATAATGGGTTTTAATAAATAGTCTACAATTAGATGGTGGCGCCCTCTTCTGGTTAATTTTTTGGAGTGCTAATTTTTGCCATGGGTGTAAAATAAAGCATCATGACCCTGGCATGCCTTTGCAGCTTATGTGGGGAGGTTGTCTAACATGCAGCCATGTGTTTTTAATGCCCCCCAAACACAAGTCTAAACATGCCATAACTCTCCAGTGTCTATTAAAAATGATGCACATTGTTTTGGGTGACCTCAGCCTTTAATGATTGCTTTGATTTATCGATGGGGTACAGTGTGTTTCTTTTAATACCTGGTGTTCCACTTCAATAAGCACACATTTGTGTTTTTTCTATATTAGGTATATTTTCGGGTTTTTGTTTTCCACTAACTGAAGCCCTGCACTCCCGTACATCTACACCTCCAGTGTTATCCAGACAATTATTTATCCGGGGAATATGGATGTGTAAATGCTAAAAAGAAATAAAAAAAAAAAAAACACCTCCACAACCGGGCATTTAATATTCTCCCTTCCTGGCTAATAATATTGTAAAACACTATAAATTAGTGTGTAAAGAGCTGCAGCAGCTCAGCCTGAGTTGAACCCGCAAATCCAGAAATTAATTTTCTGTAATGATTTATACTGCTGATTAACTTCAAGTAAGCCGAGCGGCGCTGCCCTACATAGGGAGATAAGGCAAGATGCGCTTCCAATTAATTATGCATGCTCCCCGTATAATTTAATGTTTCAAACAAGTAATAAAATGTTTTATTGGATTACATGGGGAGATAGCGCGCTCTGATTTCCGTTTTGATATATTACTTTTCTGCCGCAAAAGATGATACAGTTTTCTGCTAGGAAAAAAAAAATGGAGCCATTTGTATCTAGATGGAATGGGGAAGACGGATAAAGGAGGCGGATTGTCTGAGTAATGTCGGCTATTTTGGGCAGATAACGAAATATTAACATTTTCATAGAATAAAATCCATTATTAGCTTTTTGTTTATTCAAATGCCGCTGATGATAAACCTGAAATATGATACTGTAGATACTGTGCGGAACCTGCAGACTACAAGGAGGGTGAGCTAGTGCTGAAACTTTAATGAACTTTACTGTTTTCCATTGTCTTCAATATGAAAAGTCAGGGGGGATTTTTTCTCAGAGAATAGGTGCAGACAGGGGCGGACTGACCATTTGGAATCCCAGGCACTGCCCGAGGGCCCGGGGTCAGTACGGGGCCCCATGAGATGCCCCTGGTACCTTTTTCATAGGCTTTTTTGAGTTTGGGCAAGGACACAGGGGCCCCATGATCCCCTATTGCCCGGGGGCCCCATGAGTTGTCAGTCCGCCCCTGGGTGCAGGTACTCCCCATTTTCAAGTTACCCCTTGCCTTCACCCCCTACCCACCTGCAAGCACCGTCCCTTGGTTCCACCCCCTACCCACCTCACAGTACTGCCCCTTTTTTAGAGAATACACAACCAAATATCATATACTAGTGCTAAGTGATTTGCATGGAATTTGTTATCGATAACAAGGAAAGTAGTAAAATCGATCATAGATCCCCTGCAATCCATAACAATATACCCCCTAGCAAAAATAGATCTCCCAGCAGCCAGCAACTATGGACCCCTCCCTCAAAAGTAGATCTTTCCCAGCAACAGAAGACCCCCCACCAGCAACAATAGATTCACAACCAGCAACAATAGATCCACCGCCAGCAACAATAGACCCTCCAGGTGACAATAGATCCCCCAGTACCGGACCCTCTTTTGTCTAGTTGGAGCCCCTTTTGCCTTCAGAACTGCCCTAATTCTTCATGGCATAGATTCAACAAAGTGTTGGAAACATTCCTCAGGACTTTTGGTTCATATTGACATGAGTTACTGTTGCCTTTCTATGATCTCGAACCAGTCTGCCCATTCTCCTCTGACATCAACAAGGCATTTTCATCCACAAACTGCCACTCACTGGATATTTTCTCTTTTTCGGACCATTCTCTGCCGGGGCGGATGACAACACATGGGGCCCCCGGGTATAGGGGATCATGGGGCCCCTGTGTCCTTGCCCAAACTCAAAAAGCCTATGAAAAAGGTATCGGGCATCTCACGGGGCCCCCTACTGCCCCGGGCTCTCGGGCAGTGCCCAAGTTTCCAAATGGTCAGTCCGCCCCTGATTCTCTGTAAACCCTAGAGATGATTGTGCGTGAAAATCCCAGTAGATCCGCAGTTTTTTAAATGCTTAGATCAGTCCATCTGCCACCAACAACCATGCCACGTTCAAAGCCACTTAAATCCCCTTTCTTCCCCATTTCGATGCTCGGTTTGAACTTCAGGAAGTCGTCTTCACCACATCTAGATGTCTAAATGCATTGAGTTGCTGCCATGTGATTGGCTGATTAGCAATCTGTGTTACCAAGCAATTGAACAAGTGTTCGTAATAAAGTGGTCAGTGAGTGTATACATATTTTTAGGCAGAGGCCCTAGAGAATAATTGTGGGTGCTTCAAAAATACACTGACAGTCTATTAGACTCCAGATCTCTCCTCTGCCCTTAAAAGAATCTGATCAAACCAAGATAGAATTGATCAGATACTTTCACAAGCCAGTAACAGCTTGTTTATATATCCTTGAGAAACCAGAAGTAACAAAATACTCGTCACTTCCGGTTTCTGATACGATAGAGATGATCGGGGAGGTTTCAGTACTCGCCTATCTCTATGGTTAGCTGAGGGAATCGCCGGCTTCAGTCCCAGGCTCCATGGTGGGACAGGAGAGCCTAGGAGAGCAACAGAAAGCAGCGGGAGGGGGGGGCCCCTCCCACCGCATATAAAAGCGATCCACTGTATGTAAAAGCGATCCAGTGGCTATTTAGCTGTTAGGATCACTTTTACATAAAAGTGCATCACAAGCTGAAAAAAAAAGATACGGAGATGAGGCCTGTAGCCAGTGCTGGGACAAGGTCATCTAGTGCCCAGGGTAAAGATGTCAAAAGGCGCCCCCTTTCCCCCCAAAATGTATGACACAAATCTACCCTCCAATTACAACCCTCCTCAAAAATCCTTACTGTGCCCAGGGCAGCCACCTCTCCTGCCCACCCCTTGCCCCGGCCCTGCCTGTAGCTGCAAGGATCATCAATGAAGTCCAGGATGTCATATGACATCCTACGTGTAGGAAGTGATTAATGTTCCCGTCCACCTTTGTGTGTTCCAGTTCCTTATATTACATCCTTTCTATATATAAAATAAATGCATTCAACAAGGATGGTGGTAACCCCCCATAATGAGCACAGCAGGTGTGCAGATCTGGGATCTCAGAGCAGAAATCGCACCAATAGAATCACCAACAAAACCCCTATTAAAGTCAAATTGTATTTTAAAGTTGGACCGCATTGGCAGTGTTACCCAATGCGGTCCCAGTTTGAAGGCAGGGCACATTGGTATGTATTACAAAAAAAAATGGTGGTCAATCCCATTTTTTAAAAGACCTTCAGGGAAATGTATGGAGGGAATCTTCTTCTGGACACCCAAAAAACGAGAGATTGATAATCCTCCCAAACCGATCCCTATATGTGGTGACTCCAACCACTCCAAGCAAGTTATATAAGACCAGAACTCGTGGCGTTGAACTGAGAAGTGGAGGAATATTCCCAGCTAGAAGAGAAGTAAAACAGTAATTATGATAACCAGAAGGAGGCTCTTCTCTCTCCTCCATAGGATGGACTTCAGTATCTTGTATGGAGATGTGAAGCAGAAGGACATCTCTGGACCCCAGGAAGGAGTGGAGGAATATTCCCTGGAAGAAGAGAAGAAAAACAGTGATCAGTTCCAGAGACCTCTCCATACAAGACATTGAAGTTCATCCTCCGGAGGAGATAGAAGAGCCTCTTTCTGGTTATCCTGATCACCGTTTTACTTCTCTTCTTCCTGGGAATATTCCTCCACTCCTTCCCGGGGTCCAGAGATGTGTGCCTTGAGATGAAAGGGTGCAGGTGTAACTCCATGGAAGAATAGCAGGCTTCTGTAAGAGCCTTGCATCAGCATGCCTGGCTTGCCTTGAGGTGAGGTGGAAGGGTACAGCTGCACAGGCCTAACACAACACTACAGAAGCCGAATACCAGGCTTCCATTAGGACTGCCCACCCGCCACCCATTATTAATCCCTCCACCCGCCCCAGGAGGTGCGTGCGGAATGCAGGGCCTGTCAGGGGAGATCTCTTCCCGTGGAAGCATGGCGTTTTGTGTGTGGCCTGTTGTATTTGGATGGCCTGGCCTATATATACCAGTGCCCAACTGCACTATAGCCAAAAGATGGCTAGTTCTGGGAGGGTGTCCATGGGTGTCCTCCCAGAATCACCCTGCCCCCCCCCCCCCCCCCGTGCTGGGCGCGATCTGTGATCGCTATGTCCTTAAGACACAGCTGATCACGTGTCCAGGTAAAGGGCCAATCAGAGAGAGCGGCATTTTACCATGTGATCATCTGTGTTCAATCACAGCTAATCACAGTGTAAATAGGAAATGCTGGTTATCGGCACCCCGCTCCTCATTTATGACCGTGCATGAAGAGAGGGGAGCCGGTAACCGCCATTTCTCAGAGGGGACATCTACACTAATCATCAGGTCACTGATGATCAGTGTAGCCCCATCAGTGCGGCTAATAGTGCCCATCATTGCTTTGTATCAGTGCCTCCTCAGTGCTGGCTATCAGTGCCTCCTCAGTGCTGGCTGTCAGTGCCTCCTCAGTGCTGGCTGTCAGTGCCTCCTCAATGCTGGCTGTCAGTGCCCATCAGTGCTGGCTATCAGTTACTCCTCAGTGCTGGCTGTCAGTGCCTCCTCAGTGCTGGCTGTCAGTGTCCATCAGTGCTGGCTATCAGTGCCCATCAGTGCTGGCTGTCAGTGCCTCCTCAGTGCTGGTTATCAGTGCCTCCTCAGTGCTGGCTGTCAGTGGACATCATTGCTGGCTATCAGTGCCCATCAGTGTTGCCTGTCAGTGCGACCTATCAGTGCCCATCAGTGATGCATATCAGTACAGCCTAATCGGTGCCTCCTCATCAGTGCAGCCTATCAGTGTAGTCTCATAACGCACATCGGTGAAGGAGAAAAAATCACTTATTTGCAAAACTTGAAAACCAGAAACTAAGGAAATCTTTTTTTTTTTTTCAAAATTTGTGACTTTGTTTGGTCTTTCTTCATTTGTTTAGCAAAAAATAAAAACCCCAGTGGTGATTAAATACACCAAAAGAAAGCTCTATTTGTCCCCAAAAAATGATGAAAATTTAGTCTGGGTACAGTGTTGCATGACCACGCACTTGTCATTCAAAGTGCGACAACGCTGAAAGCTGAAAATTGGCCTGAGCAGGAAGGGGGTGAAAGAGCCCGGTAGGCAGGGGGTTAAGGTAGGGTCTGCAGCTCCAATAGCCCCAATCCGGCCCTGGCTCTGGGTCTGAGATTCCAATGATAAATCCCCAAACTTATGCTGCCTGAGTTTCAAGGGCAGCATAGCGTACAGGTTTTTTTGCTGTTTAGCTTGGTGCATGTGATTTTTATTGTTTAGTGAGTCAGTCATATTTAGGCTTTTATCATTTCTATACACTTTATGTAAAATGTTAATGTGAGCATTCCGTATTGCACTTCATTGAGCCAAAAATCCACACTAAGACAGTACCTTATGCATTGACCTCAAAATGATCTCAATTGCAATATATGTGGACATCTGCATGTGCATGCAGACCCGTTATTTGATAATGCTTTGTCACTGCTCTTGTTTTATTTGCTTTAGTAAATTAGACACTGGCGGTGTACCAGTAAGCTGGGTAAGAGTTCCAATAATACATAAAAGCTCCCGCAGAGTTGTAGTATTAAATAAACAAGGTTTGTGAGAGAAGTAATAAAGTATAACTCCAGCTGAGCAGCACAGAGGAGCAGTGAGACAGGGAAGTATATCAAGGATAAAGACAAAAAGCACATAAACTCCTATTGTTTTTCCACCCAATCAGGTTACATAGAAGAAGCGTGCATTATTCCATGTCCCTCCGACTGTAAACTCAGCGAATGGTCCAACTGGTCCCGATGCAGCAAGTCCTGTGGGAGTGGGGTCAAAGTCCGGTCCAAGTGGCTACGGGAGAAGCCATACAATGGGGGAAGGCCGTGTCCTAAGCTGGATCATACTAATCAGGTACAGTAAATGTCTTTCAGAAGCATGGCTTTCACCTCATGTATACAGGTGTAACTCAAAAAATTAGAATATCGTGCAAAAGCAGGGGCGGACTGACAACTCATGGGGCCCCCGGGCAATAGGGGATCATGGGGCCCCTGTGTCCTTACCCAAACTCAAAAAAAGCCTATGAAAAAAGTACCATAGGCATCTCATGGGGCCCCCTACTGACCCCGGGCCCTCGGGCAGTGCCCGAGTTTCCAAACGGTCAGTCCACTCCTGTGCAAAAGTTAATTTATTTCAGTAATTCAACTTAAAAGGTGAAACTAATATATGAGAGGGACTCATTACATGCAAAGCAAGATAGTTCAAGCCGTGATTTGTCATCATTGTGATGATTATGGCTTACAGCTCATGAAAACCCCAAATCCACAATCTCAGAAAATGAGAATATTGTGAAAAGGTGCAATATTCTCGGCTCAAAGTGTCCCACTCTAATCAGCTAATTAAGCCATAACACCTGCAAAGGGTTCCTGAGTCTTTAAATGGTCTCTCAGTCTGGTTCAGTAGGAATCACAATCATGGGAAAGACTGCTGACCTGACAGTTGTGCAGAAAACCATCATTGACACCCTCCATAAGGAGGGAAAGCCTCAAAAGGTAATTGCAAAAGAAGTTGGATGTTCCCAAAGTGCTGTATCAAAGCACATTAATAGAAAGTTATGTGGAAGGGAAAAGTGTGGAAGAAAAAGGTGCACAAGCAGCAGGGATGACCGCAGCCTGGAGAGGATTGTCAGGAAAAGGCCATTCAAAAGTGTTGGACTTTCACAAGGAGTGGACTGAGGCTGGAGTCAGTGCATCAAGAGCCACCACACACAGACGGATCCTGGACATGGGCTTCAAATGTCGTATTCCTCTTGTCAAGCCGCTCCTCAACAAAAAACAATGTCAGAAGCGTCTTACCTGGGCTAAAGAAAAACAGACCTGGTCTGTTGCTCAGTGGTCCAAAGTCCTCTTTTCTGATGAGAGCAACTTTTGCATCTCATTTGGAAACCAAGGACCCCGAGTATGGAGGAAGAATGGAGAGGCCCAAGGACCCCGAGTATGGAGGAAGAATGGAGAGGCACACACTGCAAGATGCTTGAAGTCCAGTGTGAAGTTTCCACAGTCTGTGTTGATTTGGGAAGCCATGTCATCTGCTGGTGTTGGTCTACTGTGCTTCATTAAGTCCAGGGTCAACGCAGCCGTCTACCAGGAGATTTTGGAGCACTTCATGCTTCCTTCCACAGACGAGCTTTATGGGGATGCTGACTTCATCTTCCAGCAGGACTTGGCACCTGCCCACACTGCCAAAAGCACCAAAACCTGGTTCAATGACCGTGGGATTACTGTGCTTGATTGGCCAGCAAACTCGCCTGACCTGAGCCTCATAGAGAATCTATGGGGCATTGCCAAGAGAAAGATGAGAGACATGAGACCGAACAATGCAGAAGAGCTGAAGGCCGCTATTAAAGCATCCTGGTCTTCCATAACACCTCAGCAGTGCCACAGGCTGATAGCTTCCATGCCATGCCGCATTGAGGCAGTAATTGCTGCAAAAGGGGCCCAAACCAAGTGCTGAGTACATATACATGCTTATACTTTTCAGGGATGCGATATTGTTCTATGTACAATCCTTGTTTTATTGATTGCATGTAATATTCTAATTTTCTGAGATTGTGGATTTGGGGTTTTCATGAGCTGTAAGCCATAATCATCACAATTATGACAAATCACGGCTTGAACTATCTTGCTTTGCATGTAATGAGTCTATCTCATATATTAGTTTCACCTTTTAAGTTGCATTACTGAAATAAATGAACTTTTGCACGATGTTCTAATTTTTCGAGTTTCACCTGTAGGTCTGTACACCAAAGAATAAGGGGTCAGTCCACCCGACAGTGTTGATATGCTATGGTTGGCATTTGCTGGGTTGAGTCACCCCCACTTCTCTTGTCTCTCCAGGGACTCCAGAAGTGAGATCTCCTTGCCATAGCACCATGGTGTCTCCATCATATGGGTGCTTGTGGTGCCCCTGGCCACTTTTTGGTGCTCTTATCTACGTCTCCCTGTCATAGCACCCTGGTGTCCCCATCATATGAGCACTTGTGTCCCTGCCTACCTTTTGGTTCTCCTGTCTACCTCTCCCTGTCATAGCACCATGATGCCTCCATCATATGGGCGCTTGTGGTGTCCCTGCCCACCTTTTGATGCTCCTGTCTACATGTTGCTATCATAGCACCCTGGTGTCTCCATCATATGGGCGCTTGTGGTATCCCTGGCCACCTTTTGGTTTTCCTGTCTACATCGCCCTGTCATATCACCCTGGTGCCCCCATCATATGGAACCTTGTTCTTCCGCTGCCCATCTTTTGGTTCTCCTGTCTACATATTCCTGCCATGGCACCCTGGTCTCCCCACTGTATGGGAATTTGTGGTTTTCCTAGACAGATTTTGGTGCTCCTTTGTACATCTCCCTGCCTCAGCTCACTAGTGTCCCCACCACACAGGAACCTGTGGTGTCCCTGCCTACCTGTTGGTGCTCCTGTCTACATCTTCCTGCCATAGCACCCTGGTGTCCTCATCATATGGAAACTTGTGGCGATCCTGACTGCCTTTTGGTCCTCCTTTCTACATCTCCCTGCCATAGTACTCTGGTGTCCCTATCATATGGGATCTTATGGTGTCTCTGACCACATCTACAACTCATTCCAAAAGCACCTTAATGTCTCTATCATAGGGGAGCTTGTGGTGTCCCTGCTTACCTTTGGTGCTCCTATCTACCTCTTCCTGCTACAGCACCCTGATGTCCACATCATATGGGAGCTTGTGGTGTCCCTGCCCAGCTTCTCGTGGTCCTGTCTACATTTTGGTGTCTCTTCCACCTCCTGCGTTCTGCTGGATGAACTCTAGCATGGAGTGCAATGGCCTGAGGACATAAATGCATATCTCTCCATTGTACATCAGACCAAAAGTCCACCACCCCAAGTGTCTGGTGCTGTAACAACTGATGGATAGCACTACAACAAACCAATGAAAATATGTTACCAGCACACATCAAGTATCTGATGAAAGGCTGACCGTTAGACAAGCTTTTGTATCAAATGGTATTTTTTATTTCTTCTTGGAGTTCAGCCTTTGATCCTTCTGTACAAGTTAGTTACTGAGTTTTAGGCAAATGAAGGAGTGCCGTGCTTTGACCACAGTTAACTACATTCCGAGCAGTAAAACACATCTGAAAATTGTATTTTTCAGTAGAATACCAGACCAGCGATTGTCCCAGTTTAGTGAATCTAACCTCTTCTTACACAGTCACTGATGGAGAGGTTCTGGCAGTCTCACTTCTGAGGCTCCTCACCCTCTAGAGAGGCTTCATATTATTATTTTTATTGATTAGCATACAGAGTGCAGATATAATCACTCCTCTTATTCCAGGAAGACCGTGAACCTGCCCTCGGGCTGCCTGGCCATTTTCTTGGAAGTGTCACCTTCTGTTCTGTAAATCGCTCTGCTTTATTGCAATATGTTGGAAGCAATTGGTCAAAATGACTAACTTGTAATTGAAGACGCTTTTACTGTCATATTTTCTGCCATCTGAAAGTCTGGCCAGTGGGTCTGCTGGGAAGGATGATTAATCTGGGACACAGCTGCCCCCTAGAGGATGATTGGTGTAATTCAGGATGATTTCCTTCTGTGGAATGGCCACTGTGCTGCAAAGAAAGTCAAACAAAAAAGAACTTCCTTTGTTTTTGGAATGGCCTGGTGCAGGGGTGTCCAAAACCTCTAAACAGAGGACCAGTTTACTGTCCTCCTAGCTTTAGGGGGGCCTGGAATGTGGTCAGCAAGAGCAGAAAATGTCCTGGTGTCAGTGGGAGAACTAGTGCCCCATCACTGATGTCAGTGGAAGGTAAGTAGCACCCATTGTTGATGTGAGTGGAAGAAATAGTGCCCCATCGGTGTTGTCAGTGGGAGGAATTGTGCCCCATCTTTAGTATTGGGGGAGGAATTGTGACCCATCATTGATGTCAGTGGGAGGAATCATGCCCCATCTTTAGTATTGGGGAGGAATTGTGACCCATCATTGATGTCAGTGGGAGGAATATTGCCCCATTGTTGGTGTCTCTGGGAGTAATAGTACCTCATTGTTGGTATTCGTGGGATGAATAGTACCCCATGGTTGGTGTCAGTGGGAGGAATAGTGCCCCATCATTGGTGTCAGTGGGTGAAATAGTGCCCCATCATTGGTGTCAGTGGGAGGAATAGTGCCCCATCATTGGTGTCAGTGGGTGAAATAATGCCCCATCAGTGGTGTCAGTGGGAAGAATAGTGCCTCATCATTGGTGTCAGTGGGTGAAATAGTGCCCCATCAGTGGTGTCTTTGGGAGGAATAGTGCCCCATTATTGGTTTCACTAGGAGGAATAGTGCCCCATCTTTGGTATTGATGAGAGATAGTGCGCCATTATTGATGTCACTGGGAGGAACAGTGCCCCATCATTGGTGTCACTAGCAGGAATAGTGCCCCATCTTTTGTGTTGGTGGGAGGAATAGTACTCCATCATTGGTATCTCTGGGAGGAACAGTGCCCCATCATCGGTGTCACTGGGAGGAACAGTGCTCCATTGGCAGTGGCAGGAGCTATGCAGTGGGGGCAATAATGCCCCAAGGGCCATATATAATAAAACACAGGGCTGCAACTGGCCCCAAGCCACAGTTTGGTGACCAGTGGCTTAGTGTATCTTTTTTTTTTATAGAGTGGTGAGGTGTTTTAACCTCTGTCAGGTTTTTACAGCTAAGTGACTCTAGAATTGAGTTGTACCGTGATATTCTAGTCCAGACATAAGCTTATTCCAATGACAAATTGTTTACAAAGCCAACGCATAGCTCCTCCCCCTTCATCAGGGTAGAATACAACACAGCTAAGAGACAATGAATTCTTTTCTATACATCATTATTACATTGTATTACATGTTTTACATTCAATAAAATCAA